TAAAACACTAAAATTCAGGATTATATATCCCGCAGTTGACAGAGCGCAGAGAGGCTATTATAAATAAATAAATATCAAGAATATTTAGCAAATGTCTGTCCTCTGGGCCCCCCAGTGGCACAGCGGCATGTCTGCGGACTTACAACGTTAGAAATCGGGTTTTGATACGCGTGGTGGGCAGAGCACAGATAGCCCATTGTGTAACTTTGTTCTTAACTACAAATAAACTGTGTACAGAACAAAAAAAAGCAAATATATAGTTTAAAAACTCGAATGAAATTTGTAATTGAAAGCTTGCGGGGTTTACTATGACCTGGTGGTTAGGGGCGCTCGAATAATAATATACGGGCTAGAGATAGAAACCCTTTGCCGAACATGCTCGTCATTTCAGCCTTTGGGGCGTTATAGTGTGACGGTTAATCCTAATATTCATTGGTAAAGAGTCGTCGGTGGGCAATGTTGATTAACCGCCTTTCCTCTAGTTCAGTATATCACTTCAAAATTAGGGACGGCTAGCGCAGATAACTTTGGAGTAGCTCTTCGCGAAATTCAAAACAAACAAACGTTTGTGAAAAAATAAGAGCACCGTGAAAGAGCTTGCTTTTATGTTTTGATAGACATACGCTATGTTGTTAAGAAGTGTCCATTGTTCAGATAAACGTACTTATACAACAATGGAGATCATTAAATTGTTTACTTATAACTGTTTTTAAAACGACCAATGTTACATGCTTAGATTTAAAGCGTTTTACTATTTCATAGATTTAAAGTAATTTAATAATTTTTTGTTGTCGTTTCAGAATGCCCCCCAGTGGCACAGCGGTATGTCTGCGGACTTGGAACGCTAGAATCCTGGTTTCGATACCCGTGGTGGGCAGAGCATAGATAACCCATTGTGTAGCTTTGTGCTTAATCAAACAAACAAACAAACGTTTCAGAATCACCGTGGACTACATAAAGGGCTATCTGGGCATAATCGTCTCTAATTTTCTCTGTTTGTTGTTAAGCGCAAAGCTACACGATGGGCTATCTGCGCTCTGCCCAACGAGGGAATCGAGACCTGAATTGTAGCGTTATAAGCCTCTGACTTGTCACTGAGCCAACGGGTACCCCCTAATTTTGAACTTATAAAGAATGTCTTGGATATATTTTATCTTGCAGACCTGCCCACCTAGTGGCACAGCGGTATGTCTGCGAACTTACAACGCTAGTATCCGGGTTTCGATACCCGTGGTGGGCAGAGCACAGATAGCCCATTGTGTAGCTTAGTGCTTAATTACAAACAAACAAACAATCTTGCAGACCTGCCCCCCAGTGGCACAGCGGTATGTCTGCGGACTTACAACACTAGAATCGGGGTTTCGATATCCGTGGTGGGCAGAGCACAGGTAGCCCATTGTGTAGCTTAGTGCTTAATTACAAACAAACAATCTTGCTGACCACAATCGGATACATACACTATGCTGCCGCTTCTGTTCCTTAAGAAATCAAACTTCTCACGAACCAAAGATTAAGAACCTTTAAACAAGAGGTAAGGCAACTAATGAAATAGCACCCTCCGCCAACTTTTTAGCTATTCTTGTCTGACCGTCACTGTTGTATCCCACCCATGGTCTCAAAGTGTGGAACGCGAATTAACGGTAATAGGTCGCGAAATGTGAAACCCGGGTACGCTAACCCACTAAGTCACACCCGGACCATAAAATAATAATATTTTCACTTTACATTTAATTTTTTTACATTCACAACTTTGATGTCAGAGGAAACTCTTAGTAGAGTAATTACAACGGTTGGTAAGATCAGTTAGTCGTGAATCAAAATATAGGCCATATTGATCACGCAATTTTTACAACACAGCATTAAATTACGATTAAACTGAATGTAGATTCCCTTTCTAGAAACATAATGTTTCGCTGTGTTCATGTTGTTGTTTTTAGCATTTTTAGCGCCATCTTAACAACAACTCCGATGGTAAATATATAAAAAGTATTTTTTGTTTGTTTGTTTGGAATTAAGCACAAAGCTACACAATGGGCTATCTGTGCTCTGCCCACCACGGGTATCGAAACCCGGTTTTTAGCGTTGTAAATCCACAGACATACCGTTGTGCCACTGGGGGGCAGTATTTTTTTTTATTTTATTTCTTAGAGCAAAACCACATTCAGCTATCTGCTGTGTCCACTGGGGGACAATCGAACCCAGGATTTTAGCGTTATAAGTCCGTAAACTTGCTACTGTGCCATCAGGGGACGAATATTTCAAATGATTTTTCGTAGAAACTGAATAGAAGTGGTTAAAATATGGTTGGCGTACCGTTTTATCACTTAAAAGGTAATCAGTAAAACCATAAGGAACGATCACAGGACAATGAATTACGTAGGCGGGGTGTAATATTATAAAAAACTATATATAATGTGTTTTAACTAGCATATAGAGCCTTATTGCTTAAACAGCGCCACCCTAGTCTGTGTTCTGAATTATCTTTAGTCAAGTTATTTTGTTTTTTATGACGTTTGATAATATGATACGTCGGTGAACAAAAGTCTTGTTTCCCAAGTTATTCAACCCTGTTCACACCCAATGTAATTATTCAACCCTGTTCACACCCAATGTAATAGATGATAATTGTTTAAACACTCTAATTCGTGAGACGGGGCAGTTAATACTTTAACCTTCATTATTATCTAGGCTAAACTCAGGCCTTGGTCTTAAATTGAAAACGGTGTTCATTTGGGTAAAAGGTGCATTTTTCAATTATTTTTTCTTACTGAGCTTGTAGAAATAATGAACATCAAATCGAAACGACATAAAGTCACATAAAGGTAAATCATTCAAGGTATTCGGTTTAACGTTAGTTATTTTTTCAGTTAACTTCTGTAAAACTGTGGTAAATGATGTAAAAAAAGCTTCTCTTCTGGACAGTTGCAAAAATACCAACACCAGAGTGTCCTTTTCTGAAAACTAGCAAACACTAACAACACTAACCACGGCTCCAAACTGTTGAGGGAATCTATCTAATCAACACCACCCACGGCCCCAAACTGCTGAGGGAATCTATCTAATCAACACTAACCACGGCCCCAAACTGTTGAGGGAATCTATCTAATCAACACCACCCACGGCCCCAAACTGCTGAGGGAATCTATCTAATCAACACTAACCACGGCCCCAAACTGTTGAGGGAATCTATCTAATCAACACTACTCACGGCCACAAACTGCTGAGGGAATCTATCTAATCAACACTAACCACGGCC